CTTCCCGGCTCGATCAACCAACTTTGGGCATTCGGCTTTCCAATGTCAATCCTCTTTATCAAAGGCACACTGATTCTTACGAACTCCAAGATGTGCCCTTCTAGACTGTGACCTCCTACCACGGTTTGGACTCTTTGCTCTTGCGACCAATGCCCCCACTACCGGCTCAACTAAAGTCTCATTATCCTTCTTTCGAAGCTGATAATTTACAAGTGCAGCGGTGACCTCACTATAAGAAAGAGATGTCTTCCCATTAATAAGCGTAAGAATGAAGGTCTTATATTCCTCGTCACGCAAGGAACTCAACAACAACAACACCTTGTCCTCATCTTCAATCATCACATCTACATTCGCCAAATCCGCAAGAAGCTTCGTGTAGTGGTTCATGTGATCACCAATGGAGGTCCTATTCTTCAATTGAAAGCGATAAAGCCTCCTCTTCAAATGCAAGCGGTTCTCTACACTCTTGGTCAAATACTTGCCCTCTATAATCTCCCAAATCTTCTTAGCTAAAGTCCCATTGATCACATCATATTTTAAATCTTAAGCCAAACAAGATCTAATCACACCACACGCCGTTCTATTCATCTTTTTCCAAACCTTCTCCTCAATGTCGTCTGGTTTCCCGTCCAACTCCAAAGTATCTTCTAAATTTTGCATATTAAGCGCATCCAAGACTTCACAACTCTAAAGACTAAAATTATTTGTGTCATTAAACTTCTCAACATCTATCTTCATAGAGTAGATATTAAAACTTTGGACAATTTTCATGCCGGAAGTACCCTCCACAACTCCTTCTTTCCCGACCATCTTTCTCAAAGCACAAAAACAAATACGGAATAAATAAAGAATAGATCCAAAACTGAAAAGATAGAGTCTTTACCAAAAAGATCTCATATTTATCACCAAACGAAACCCTAGGCGAGCCTCCAAAATGACCTACTCCTCTAAATAGCCCAAACATAGCCCGAGCTCTGATACCATTTGTTGAGTGCTTCGAAAGCCAAACAACTAAACCAACGTGTTACGAGAAATCAAATCAAACGAACATCGAGAGAAGGCCAAACGAACCAAATCAATGCCACAAACACAAACAACCAATTTTAATATGGTTCGACAAGTTGCCTACGGCCACGAGGCAAGAAGGGAATAGAGTTTTTCACTAATAGAGAAGAAGAGTACAAACTGAGATTACAAATCACTCAAACTCACCAATTAATCTTACCAACAAATCTCTAATTCTCTTCAAACAAAACCCTAACCAATAGCTCAGAATACCTCTTTTTTGTACTCCAAATATCCTCAATTTTCTTCTCAATTCTCTCTTCCAATTATTCTATATATATAGAAATCCTAAAATCATAAACATACTAGAAATTCTAAAACAAAAAACAAAACAAATTAGGAATCCTAATAATCTGTTATCAAAACAAATTTGGAATCATGTTATCAAAATAGATTAGGAATCCTAATAACCTGTTACCAAAATAAATTAGAAAACATATTAGGAACCTGCTATCCAACACTAATAGCCTCAGCCCCCTCCTCTCTCTCTCTCTCTCTCTCTCTCTCTCTCTCTCTCTCAAACCCTAAACCCCCTTCTTTGGTGATTCTTAGAGGATTTTGGAGGAGCTGACGCGAGATCCATCAGTGTTCAGCGAAGGAGGATCATTCTCACTCATCTTTGGGAGTTCATCAACATCCCTCAGGCGAGTTTAATCTTGCCCAATCCTACACCTATGTTTTAAACGTTTTTAATAAAGTTTTTCTGTGTTTTATGAGCCTAAAATGCTATTTTATGTATAAAGATAGATCTTCATATTGTATGTTGCAAAAAGAATAAGTTTTTAGTTAATAAAGATCACCCACAAATTTCTTAATGCAGATCTAGATATGAAAATTTTCCTAACAAGAGTTTTGAAAGAAAGATAATGGTTTTCAAACGTGTCGACATGCATACATGTGTTTAAAAAGGTTTCTTTTTGTCTATAGTGATTAGATTGTATTTTTTTTACATTTTCTATAAATGCTAAATCACATATATAGGATTTGTAGTATATAGAATCGTCGTATAATGGCTTTTGAATCAACCTCGAGGAGCAAAAACCTGTAGAAAAGGTTTCTGTCTTTTTGCGGTCGACCGCTGGGAAATTTGCTACAAGTTCATATTGTTGCATAAGTTTGTGTGGCTGGAGAGACACCTAGGTTATATAGGATTATAATACGCTGGGATTTGTGTATATGAGTTGACTACGGACACAAGTTTTAGATTCACTCACCGAGGCACGAGAGTGAGTAGTAAATATGCTGATTTTTTTATATTACTTTCATGTTGAAGTCCTCGTGTTGGACTATAATCCATTGAAGTCCTCCTGTTGGACTATAATCCATTGAAGTCCTCGTATTGGACTATAATCTATTACAATCCTCGTGTTGGACTTTAAGCTTTTGCAGTTCATGTATTGGACATTTACCTATTTCAGTCCACGAGTTGGGACTTTAAGCTTTTGCAGTTCATGTATTGGACATTTACCTATTTCAGTCCACGAGTTGGGCACGTATTTGACATCTGACAGGTCATTGATATTATGGTTGGAGATGGAGCTATATTTCTTTATTGCTCCACGTTGTAGTTTTTTTTTGAGATTTGGTATTTAGCTATTTACAATTTGAGCTAACGGGAGACGTACATATGCTTGTGTTGTAAATTTCTAAATATCAAATCTCCATTTTATTTCAGAGTAGATGATTGGCTATCTATATGTATTAACAGCTATTTTTCTTATTCTTATAGCCCTTCCCCTGTGGTTGGTTGAGATGTTACTCGCTAGCGCTTGACGCTCGTTGTTTCCCCTCTTTCAGGTAACGAGCCAGGTACACGGAGAACCGTAGGTTGATGGAGTTGCTCTAGCAGTTATTTATCTATATTGTTAGTAGTTTATGTCAGAACTCCACAGTAGACGTGTTTATAAACATTTGAGTTATTATTCTAGTTTTGTAAAGGTGATGTGTCTAAATGTCATTTCATTTGATTTCCTATGTCAAGACACTTGTATTCAGTCAGATGTTATTTCTCTAAGAGATTGGTCTATTTATTTCAGTGATGATGATTCCTTCAGAATATCTGTCGTTTAGTATTTCTTCAGTATATTTTCTCTAGCCTGTTTTGTACCTACACCTGTTGTTAATTCTACTAGATAGATAGTAATTGTGATGGTGAAACATGCTATTGTATGGTGTAGTGCATGACAGGTTTGACATTCTTTGTTTTACCTTGGACTGTAGCCTTATTGAAACCAGGGGCGTCACATATCATTCTCCTCTATCCTTTAATGTAAAGTTTTTGAGACATTCAATTATCTATTTTTGTTGGATGTCATGTAGTGTAATGATAAGTTTACAAACTCAAGTCTTTGATAAATGTTGTCATGAGATTTTTCATGGGTTTTGACTACATCTTGTAGTCTATAATTTATGTTTTGTTTTGGATTGTTAGGTATATGATTGATAAGGGATTGCCCCCATTTTTTATGGAAATGCCAGCTCAGGAGCTCTAATGGTAAGTTTTGACATGGTTAGTTATTTGATATGAAACTTATTGGAATAGGCCCTTGTTGGCAGGAAAATACTTGGACCAAAGCTTCTTTTTTTATTTGGTCTTGTATTGACAAAGTTTTGGATCAAAAATATTTTGAAACTCACATATTTCAAAATGAGCACATGCATGCGACTTGTCAAGCGCGCATACTTGGAATGAGTGAATTGCAACTTCAATAAGATGGTATAGGTAGGTTCAACCAACTATAAGGTAAATGAGAATCAATTGAATGGTTTTACATACTCAACGGAGACAAATTTTAGGATCATAGTTCAAGGACTTATGACGAGTAATTACCCTAGATAAATATAGATTGAGGTGGTAAAATGGGGATATTTGCTAACTCCAGACCAGTCATATGACCTTTATTACTGATTTGGGAAACAGATGAGACTTCTTACAGAAGTCATATTTTTTCGCTTATTATTGTCTTAAAAATAAAGAATATTAAAAGGATCTTTTTATATCATCTCTAATTCTCAAGCTTCTTTCTTACTCGAGAAAATTTTTGAGATCTCATTTTGAGCCAATTATGAAAATTATAAGGATTTTTTGTTGATGATGGAGTTTGTTGAGATATTTAACATTTTTTGTGGATAAGCTTGAAATTGCTCAAGTTTATTGGAAGTTTTTTTTGGCTAGTTTTATAAAAAGAATTCATGATAAAATTTGCATTTTTGTGCTTATTTTCTTCTTTAAGATTTTTGAGTGTTATTTCTTTCCAATGTGGATCAGGTGTTATTAAATTGTGTTCTTTTCCTTTGTACTATGTTATTAGTTTGCATTTTAATGATCTAATTTAGACTTCGATATGCTTAAGAGATTTTAGGGTTGCCATCACACAAATTTGCAATTTTTGCTTATTTTCTTTCTTTAAGATTTTTTAGTGTTATTTCTTTCCAATGTGAATCAGGTGTTATTAATTTGCTTTCTTTTCCTTTGTACTATGTTATCATTTTGTATCTTATTGATCTAATTTAAGCTATCTATATGCTTCTATGATTTTTACACTGTATGTGATAAATTTTAGACTATGCATATGCTTCTGAGATTTTAGGACCACTAGCAAAAACAACTGTTTGGTTGTTTTTTAAAAGTAATGCTCTATACAAGATGTTTGTGATTGAAGAACCATGTTTATAAATTTTGTGTGTGTGTTTTGTGTATGCGTTTGTGATTTAAAAGTAATGCTCTATACAATACGTCTTACATTGAGGTCGAAAAGGAACCAGATCCTGACAAAGTAGGGCGTCGAAAGCCAAAGTTACGCGCACGAAACCAGAGCGATCCACCGCCCATACTAAATTAGACACGAATCTGAACGGTCTATTAATTTACGCGCATCGCACGCGTTTCTCTTGTCGGCACTCGGGCGTCTGTTTATTTTACACCCCACGACTCCTTCGACCGCCCACAAAAGAGGAAAGAGGGAGAAGGGGAAATATTGATCTATGCATACGCAGCAGGATTAGGGTTTCGTGGTCGTCGTCGTCGTCTCTCTCTCTCTCTCTCTCTCTCTCCTCTCGATTTCGCCGGGGATTTTCTGGATCGAGCTCTAATGGCGAGGAATCCGGCTTGCTCTGTCTACATAGGTTCGTCTCTTAGTTTTTTATTTTCCTGCTTGCACGTGTTCATAAGTTGCGATTGTAGGCTGTTAATAGTCTAAAAATCTGTCATTTATATGGTTTGGCTGAATTATTTGAAAATTCGTGTTGATGTGCTCTGGATTTTTTCTTTTCGGCTGATTCATGTGAGGTTTTATAAGCTTTTGGGGAAATTAGTTTCACATCAGGGTAAATTATACTAATCTCCCAAGAATTTTCAGCATTTTGTAGTAAACACCCATTAACTTGTGAGGTTAGGATGAATTTATTTGAGAACTTGCTCTGGATTTGTTCTTGTCGGCTGATTCGTGTGAGGTTGTATCAACTTTTCGGGAGGCTAGTTTCATATTAGGGTAAATCATATACTGAACCCCACGAGAATTTTCATCGTTTTGTAGTAGACTCCCATTAACTTGTGAGGTTAGGCTGAGTTATTAAAGAATTCATATTGATTTGTTCTGGATTTGTTCTTATCGGCAGATTCTTGTGAGGTTTTGTGTCAGCTTTTGGGGAGACTTGTTTCATGTTAGGGTAAATTATATACTAAACCCTCAAAATATAAGTAAACACCCATTGACTTTAAAAATCGCACTAAACCCTCAATAACTTTTGTAGAACCCCCTCCACCCTCCCTCCCCACACCCCAAAAAAGAACTTTTAAATTGCCTTTTTATGTTTGTTTTTTGGTCCTAATTTGTGGGCTTATCTGCAAAACCTGAAAAAGTTACTGGGGTTTGTTGCGACTTTGAAATCTATTGGGGATTTACTTCAAAATGCTGGATGTTCTTGAGGGTTTAGTGTAACTTATCCTTCATATTATGTTGAGTAATTTGGTCTTTTTTTCTTTTTTTTTTCTTTTTTCTTTTTTATTTTTTTACAATTCAAAACTTCCAGAATGTTTCACACCATGGTTAGTGTAACTCATTTTGATTTGTTTGAATTTGGGTCGGATATCTTGGGTCTTTTCTTTAATTCTCAATGTGGCTTGTGCTTAATTATCAAATTTTACAGTTTAGACTTTTGGGTTTGTTCTATTATTACTGTTTTCTACTGCTTTTGGTTCTTCTCTATTGCTATACTATTTCTCCTTAGATTTTATTATTAAGATTATGTTTATGTAAGATTATGTGTATTGACTAATTATTATTATCACATTTTAAGTTACAATGAGATTTTATTTTTCTTGGGTTTGTGCAAAAAGGTCTTTCTTGTATTAATTTATTGTACTCCTAACAGGTAATTTGGATGAGAAGGTGAGCGAGAAAGTCTTGTATGAGATTCTTGTTCAAGTGGGTCGAGTAGTGGACCTACATATACCTCGGGATAAGGAAACTAACCGTATGAAGGGCTATGCTTTTGCTGAATATGAAACCGAGGAGATTGCAAATTATGCTGTTAAGCTTTTCTCTGGCCTCGTCTGCCTTCATAATAAAATGCTTAAGTTTGCTGTACGTTGTATCAGCTTTTATTCTATATCCTTTTCTCTTTACTTTCTGTAATTTGCTCCAATGACTTAGAACATCTTCCTCAACAACAATAATTGGATTTCCCTTTAGATGATGATGTAGAAGAAATTCAGTATAATTTATGGCATATGTACATAAACATAAGTTATTTTAGCTGTGATGGGGATATGCATTCATATGTTGTTTTGTTATAACTTAGATTTACACCTTTTTGATGTCGATGCCTAAGAAAAGGTTGGCCTTTGCTTTCTTTGTAGCTAGAAATCAGCTTTGGTAAAAAAAATTTCTCCCATTTTGTACAGATGTCCGGGCAAGACAAATTCCCACAAAACAACAGTACTTCACTCACTCCTCAGGCAAATGGTCCTCTAACGAATAATGAACCGAGTCCCGTGCCTGTGCAGTCACAAGACAAATGGCCGTCAGTTTCTACACAGTCAATGGGCAACTATGGGGACTCATCTAGCAACTATCCTGTTTCCCCTGTTTACCCTCAAGGTGATTTTGATTTTCTAAGATCTCCAAAATACTTGCTAACCCCTTCTATGACTTTCTTGGTTCTCATATATTTAGCGCTTCTTTACAGTGTCTCCTAATGGATTAGGTGGGCTCAGCAGCAGCAATTATGAATATAGTAGGCGTGTTCTTGGGGCTGTGTTGAATGATGTCAGTCATCCTGCCACCAGGCGTCCTGCAACATATCCGTCTTACTAACATTTAGGTTACTATAGACAGGGTATGTATCCTTGATTGTAGTCCTTAGTAACAGTCTTCTCTGTTGTAGTCTGGTTGTTAGGGGATTGGGCTGATTAGGTTGGTATTGTTGTTCTTCAATGTGCTATTTGAAGTAAACCTTGAGTTAATACTCTTTGATGTCTGTAAATTTCTACTAATTAAATGTCTTAACTACTTTTGAGTTTAAATGTCTTAACTACTTTATACACATGCTCCAAACAGCTCATGTTATATACACTGTTTGATAATAAGGTAAAGTTAAATAACTGAATTTTATTGAATTACCAAAATAGAACACTGTGTGCTCATGTTGTGTGAAAAAAAGGCCCAGACTGAGTTCTGTAACTCATCCAATAGTGATCCTTATGTGAATCTTTTATTACTAGCTACAAATGACGCATTTATCTAATATACTTATTTTCTTGTTTCTGACCCCTCTGATCTTTTTGGTGCGTTATCTAAAAGCTAAACAAGTTAGACTAGATCGTCAATTTCATATGATTTATATTCTTCTCAAGATTATCACTGTTTGTATATATCAGTAGAGATCAGCCCTAATATTTTTTTTCTTGATGATTATTATCAGGTTTACTACTAGTTTAGATTAGGGTATGCATTCTTCTCATGCTATAGGGTGTGTGCTTTCCACCTGTATTTTGGCCTCTTATTTTGCTCTCATGCTTTTCCCCCCTCTTATTTCATTTTTTGTTATTTATATAGAGATTTGAGCTTAGGACGTTTGTATGTAGAACTATACATCCGTGGAGCCAGCCAGCGTGTGTTCAGGGGTTGTATTTTGCTTTCGTACTTTCTACTGTGTAATTGTAACCCTTGACACTCCTTCATATCCGAGATTCATTGGCATAAGAGCACTGTAGATGCTCATTGTTTTGTCTGTATGAACTTCGATGTTTGTTCACTGACTTATTTGCCTGTTCATCTTTTTAAAAGATTAATATGGCTAAGTTCTCAGTAAGCCAATATGACTTCTAACCCTGATTTCTTCATGCAGTAAGAGAGAATTTTTCTTGGAGGGATATTTATGAAGATGCAAATTGACTTTCTTGCTTCTCCTCTTTCATGAAGCCTCATGGTATCTGCTAGGCAGTACTTGAGTTATGTCAACTATCGAGTTATTCATATTTGTGTGCATCTGAAATCCTGTAATCTTAGTATGAATTCAAATTTTCTTCTTTGGAAAATTTCTTTCAAATAACCATTAATTTAGAATATATATACCTGATTTATTATTCTATAGCTAACAAAACTATTTCATTAAAGAGATTCTTCTATTTGATTAACGAATTTGATTGTTCTAATAGTATAAATTCACACTCGAAAATTTTTCTTTGGCAATGGTTTAGAATCTGTAGTTTTAATGATTAAAAAGTTCTATTTGAGTTTGGGTGGGATGAGGGGGTGTAGAGCTTTGACAAGAATGTAAGGAGGTTCAAACATGACATTATATGAACAAACATGTGATACACAAATCAGTCAAAATGTGTGGACATGTTTGATTCAC